CCAACCCAATCAAGCTGCAAGCCCCCGCGCCACTTGCGTTCTGAAAAGGGGGTCCCCTGAAGGCAGAGAAGCGCAAGGGACATCCAGAGATTGAGCCAGCGATCGGCACCCCCGCTGAGCACATGTAGATCATCGGCATAAATGAGCATCCAGAGGAACGCCTGAAGAAGAACTCTGAGGGAAAGCCTGCCCACAAGACCGATGATCCGCGCAAACCAATAAGCCGCGGAAGCAATTCCGAAAGTTCCAGTGCGATTGACCCAGACCACAGAAGAATCGCTCCGCGTTCTGCAGGAGAGCACCCCCCAATGGTCGGGATGGTGCAAGTAGCGCCTGTGCGCCTTTTTCACGTCCCCCACAAGCCCGAAGAGGACTTTCTCATCGGACACAGTGCCTAACTTTTGGATCGCAGACACCTCCCTTGCACCTGGCGATTCAAGACGGTCAAGCATAACAATCTCATTGTTGACGTGGACCCCGTGGGTCCCATCGTGGACCACACGAAAATCTTGGTCAGGTTTCGGGATCACTGCCTGCGCCGCAATACGAAGGGCTGCACCCGGGTAGCGGCTCCGGGCCTCTGCAAGGGAGAGCGGGAACATACGGCCTTCTGCCTCTTCTTTTGCAAATGCCTCCTCAAGCGATTTTGCAACATCAGGTCCGTCCCGATAATTGTTCATCAGCGGCTGCCAATCGGACTCATCGTATTTCTGATCCTTTCTACGAGCTCTGAAGACTTGAGGGACCGGTCCCAATGGTGCAGTGTGGCCGGCCTTGGCCCGCACGTTTGGGGCAGACGCCAGGCACTGGAAGATCCCGATCGGGATAACGCCGAATATCTTGCCGAATTTATGGATGCATTCACTCCTTCACTCCCCATCGCAGCAGGAACTGCCGCAAGCCAAGCAAGTCACGTATAAAGAAATGACGTGTGCGGACCCTCTTTTATCCGACCCAAGAGTCGAAGATTGGGCGGCCTTGGACCACACTTTGATTGCCACGCCCCTCTCTGCATCCTTCAATTACCGTGGTTCCATTTTCAGCAGCTCGTTAGTACCCGCCACCTCCCGTCCTACGGTACACTCTCTTGCCAGGATTTATGTCACCGCTTACACCGACGGCTCCTGTCCTAACAACCGAATTGTCTCTCCCGACAACCCCGCAGGATGGGGATTTGCGGTTGCCAGTTCACTGGTCAAAGAGGAAGCCACTCAGGACACCGAATGGGATCTCTCTTTCGGCCCGGTTAAAACTACGCCCACCGATTCACATGTATTGCCCGAGATCTGGGACTCAAATAACACAGGAGAGCTCAAAGCCCTTATTGAGCTATTCGACTACCTGTTGTACTACTCTAACCTTCCTCCTTTTTCGGATATTATTACCATCTTTACTGATTCTGAATACGCCATGCGAGTTATTCTGGGCGACTCTCTCCCGAACACACATCAGCAGCTAGTCACCCTGGCGCAACGGTACTATACCGCCCTGCGCACTCTCCATTACGTTACTATCGCCAAAGTTGCAGGCCACTCCGGTGTCATTGGCAATGAGCTTGCCGACTCCTTCGCAAAAAAGGGGGTCACAGAATACGGCTCCTTAGGGAGATTTGCTGGCGCTCGTACAGCGGCACTTTCTCCCCCCGATGTCGGTTACTCCTCTGAAGCGTGGTTATCTCTCTCCCCTGACGCCCAGAATAAATTTCTCCTGGAACTTATTCAGAAGCATACTCCTCTTATCCCCGCCCTTCCGGTATCTCCGAAGAAACCCTGGATCTCCTCCTCTACACTTGAAGTTATATCCTCCTTTCAGGAAAAGACTGATCTCACAGAAGAAGAGGTCAAGCGACATCGCAACCGAATTAAAAAACTCGCCAGGCGCGATAAGAAACAGTTTATCTTGGCAAACCTACGGGAGGGTTTCCATGGCTCAGCCATACAGCAGTGGCGCACCGCGCGCTCCATGCGCAAGGACTTTCGCCCCTCCCCTACTAACCTCATTGATCTCAAGGGCAAATTGGTCTCCAAGTCCCGCCGGGCAGAATCATTCGCGGACTATCTCGCCAACCAGGTTTGGAAGGCTCCCGTGCCGGAAACCTTCCCGGACACTTCCTCCTTTTCGGAAGTTCCGGAATCCTCCCGTCCATTTAACATGGAAGAGCTCAATGTAGTCCTTCGGGCGCTAGGAAAGCGCAAGGCTCCTGGTCCGGACGGCGTTCCCGCCGAACTTATTCAAAACGCACCTTTCATCTTTAGGCTCTATTTATTGGATCATTATAACCATTGCTTCGCCACAGGAGAAGCCCCAGCAAGTTGGCTCCATTCGGAAGTGGTTATGCTCGTTAAGAATTACCAAAAGGATACCAAGCTCCTTTCTAACTATAGACCAATCTCACTCTCCAACACTATGTATAAGATTTATGCTTCGCTCCTTCAGAAGCGTTTGGTAGTCCATTTTTGACCACAGGGTACGCCATACCCAATTTGGTTTTCGCTCTGGGCGTTCGGTTACTCAGCCTATACATATTCTACGCCGTCTCCTCGAGGTCCACGAGCGCCAAACCGAGGCTTTCCACGCTATTTTTCTAGATTGGGCCAAAGCTTTTGATTCGGTAACTTTTCCCGCCATTCAGGCCTCCCTTCAATACATGGGGGTTCCCCCCCCCTTTCAGCAGGCTATCTCCTCTCTTTATAACGACCCCTGCCCCACTTTTACAGTTCGTGATAGTAACCAACGCTCCGAAAAGCACACCCAAACTCGAGGACTTCGCCAAGGATGTCCCTTATCCCCTTATCTGTTTGGGTTTGTGCTTACCCATGTCTTTGAAGACGTGGAGCGCCAGTACACGGCCGAACATGGCGCTATCTCAGGCGTTTTACGCCTGGGCTCCACTCTGTGGGATCTAGAATATGCAGATGATACGGTGCTCCTTTCAAATTCTTATTCTCAAGGACAGCTCTTTCTCCACTTGGTTCAGAAAGAAGGCGCCCGCCGCGGGCTTTATCTCAACTACGAGAAGTGTGAGCATTTGTCTGTCAACTCCTCTCATCGTATTCTTTTTGACCCCAACTATCTCCTTTCCTCACTAGACGATCTGCAAGTCCCACTCTCTGATGCGGTTAAGTACCTTGGAGTTTATCTGGATCCCAGATCCACCAATCATAAAAATGTCTCTACTCGTATATCGAGAGCCATGGAAGCTTCCAAAAAACTAGCCCCCACTTGTGAAGCACGGTCATCTTCCTCCCAACTGGAAGCTTTTGGTATATCGCTCGGTAGTCCAGGCTATCTTGATGTATGCAATGGACAGTCTCCTTCTCACTCCGGCACAACTCACCAAACTGGACTCTGTCCACTATAAGTGCCTTAGGCGGATTTTCAAGATTAAGTCCTCATATTACCACAGGGTTATCAACCCCTCCGTCGCCCCATGTTCGAACCAATACCTTGCGGAATTAGCTTTTTCTTCCCGCCGAGTTATTGCTCCTTCCCAACAATACTCCCAAGCCCGCTTGAATCTCCTTGGTCATCTCTATCGGCACCCAGAATCGCTTGAATTCCAGTCCAATTTTATGCCCTCAGCAGCATATCGCCACACAAGAGGACCCAATAGGGTAGGTCGACCTAAGACTCATTGGGCAGAATCATGTCTCGTAGAGGCACGTCGTATTACGCAGTCGGATGCAGCCCCACCGCATTCTTTACTTGATCATAGCTTCTTTGCTATACCGACGGCAGCCGAGATCCGTCAGGAACACTCCTCTCAATCGATGGTGTGGATGGATAATACTCCTTTGTACCGCCAAGTCTCGACTGTTGCCAGAAATAGAGCTTTTTGGGTTTCTGTAGTGCATAAACCAAGCCGTAAACCACACAAGCGCACCTGAAACGGTCGGTGCAGACGGGACCTTCACGGATCCTGCGCTTGCAAAAAAAAAGGTTTTGTGAAACATTTTTCCTATTCTCTCTTTTGATTTTCCAGTCATGCAGGTTTGTCGCCATTGCATTTGTGCTGAGTATATGTCGTATCGCAGGCGCTTTGTTTCAAGGGTGAAAACATTCAGCTGAGCAAGGGTCGGGTACAATTTGGATCAATAAGGTAGGAACATTTGGGCTTGGCCCAGCTTCGTTTTGGTGGAGCCGCCTTTACGGGATCATCGGCCGAGTGGTCGCTCGTTGCCTGTTGCAGCATGCATTCTACCGCTTCGCCTACGTGGCCGATGTGCATCCCACTTTCTATGGGAAGCGGATGTACATCAATTTCTTGGTTTGGCTAATCCTTCAAGAAATGATAGGGGTGCCTTTTGCCTACCATAAGTTTAAGGGAAAGACGTTTGTTGCTTTCATAGGTTACGAGCTTGACTACGGTTCCAAACTTGTGGGGCTCAGCGAGGCCCGGGGAGCTTGGGTGTGCAACTGGGTCGACGAGGCTCGGAAGGCACGCTTTGTAGTTTCAGTCAGAAAATTTGCAGAGTTCCTTGGGCGACTCGGTTTTGTGTCTAGTGTACTGGATCAAACCGGACATTCACCACCATCCGGATTACAAGAGTTCGAGTCCTGCCTTATTTTATATATTGAATCACCTTTTGAGATATTCCGTTGAGTGATTGAAGATTTTTACGACTGATGAAATATTGTACTTTTCAGGTTTTAGCGTTCGGCTCAAAACCCCTTGACAAGAAGGCTGTAAACAGTGGGCCCTTTGCCTGACATCAGGAGCGCGGTCGCTCAGGAACCGTTGAAGGTGCTGAAGCCTGCCCGGCTTGTCGTCCTCGACCCCTTTTGCGGTCAAGGTGCCGTGGGTCGTGCGTGTGCCGAGGTCGGGTTTAGAACGCTGTGTTATGGCTCCCCGATAACAGGTCCTGCCAAACACAAAGTTCTGCAACTCCGGCCCGATCGTCAATCCACTTGGCAATACCTGAGACGCCTTGTTATGGCTCACCGAGTCTATCATGTTCAGCTGTGCCTCAACGAAACACTCAGCCCCGTTGAGCTTGATCATGTGGCCTCTTTCGCTTCTCATGTTCTGCAGCTACGGGTTGGACTCACCGTTTGCGGCCCGGCCGATAATTCGGCCTGGCGATGACTCTTTGGCTTCGTGGGCTGGCCCTGGATGGTCTATGGGCCTTTGTTGCTCTTCGATTCGCGTGACCTCCAGTGTGCTGGCCTGCACTGACTTGCGCGTTTGCTCTTGTGCTGACCCCGCCGGGTCCTTCGCTCTCGGCAAACAATATGCCGAAAACTTTGCCGAGTGTCTGCGCTTGCAAGCAGCTGGTGAAGATTTACTTGTTTCCCCCCACTCGGGGCTGCCTGATTCTAACCCTTCCGTGCACAAACAAGCCAAGCTCACCAAAATGCAACCGATTATGCCCGAGTTCAAGTACATGGTCAGCGTCCATGTGGCCGATTGTTCTCAGTTGCAGCTTGATGACAAAAGGTGCCTCAAAACGGCTTTGCCGTCCGTACCTCAAGGTGCCAGGCTCCTTAGGCTCGCTTTTCTTGGGGGTGGTTGTCTTAAGCCTAAGTCCCCTTCCCCTTTTCCGAACACCCCCGCCGCTGCCACTTTTGGTGTGTTTCGGACCCCTGATGAGTTCGTTGCTGCCAGCTTGCGTCTCGAACATCCGTTCGACGCTTTCACACATGTGCCCGATGGCCTCATCAGGAATTTGGGGCGTCTGCTTATCGACGGTCCTCTGCCCGTCATGCGACGCCGGCTCGACTTGCTTACCAAGTGGTCCGCGTGGGCCGGGCCAACGAACTGGCCGAACCTGAGAAAGCTCTTCATGCTTAGGAAGAGCTTGATCAAAGAGCGAAGTTCTTGCGACCTGCCTTGTGGGCCAAAATCTCCTCCTCAAAACCTGAGGACTCCGATGCCGAACTCTGGAGCCAAACTCTTGCGGAGCGGGATCAGAAGTCTTGGCTGAGCGGTCCTTACAGCTACCAAGAGCTGACTGAGATTTTGGGGCCACACTGGATACCTGTTCGTGGATTCGCAATTTTCCAAAGAGGGAAGTTAAGATGCATAGACGATTTGTCTGAGAACAGTGCTAACTCGTCGTGGGAAGTGGCGGAAAAGATTGACCTTCGTGCGATGGACGAGCTTCTCTGGATAACCTCGAGGCTCATGCAATCCATCGTCGACCGAGGTTCGGTTAACCTTCGCCTTTCCTCGGGCGAAGTGATCAGCGGCCCTTTGCACACTGTCTGGCGCACGCGGCCTGAGTCCGCGCGTCCGGTCTTGAAATGCGTGGACTGCGTGGACTTGAAATCTGCTTACAAGCAGTATGCTAAAAGGCCATGTGACAGCAAGCGGTGTGTGGTCAGTCTCAGGCGGCCCTCCGACGGGCAAGCCGTCGGTTTCATTTCGCACACCCTCCCCTTCGGCTCGCTCGCGAGCGTGGGGCAGTTCAATCGCGTTGCCCGCTTGATTCACCGCATTCTTGTCGAGCTGGAGTGCCTGGCCTGCAACTATTATGACGATTACCCAGTGCTCGATATGAGTATGCTCTCGGCCAATACCGAGAAGACGATCCGCAAGCTCATGCGCCTGTTGGGCGTGGTCTGTTCTGAGGACAAGGAATTGCCTTTTTCTTCGGTTGCCGATCTTCTAGGGGTTCGCCTGGATCTTAGGGCGAAGGACTTTTCTTGCGTCATTGTTGCGAACAAGCCCGACAGGGCTCGCGACATTTCCGAGTCGGTCGCTAAAGTCCTATCGGATGGCCAAGTGGTCGTCAGGGAAGTCGACAGCTTGTTTGGAAGGATTCAGTATGCTGATTCTCAAATCATGGGCCGCAGGGGCAAGCTGGCTTTGAGCACGCTTAGAAAGCTCTCGCGAGGTTCAGGTGTTCGCCAACTTTCTTCTGTCTACAGACCGTGATGCCTTTGCTTTTTTGAAGATGCGCATGGATGGTGGCGAGCCCAGACGCATACAGGTGGGGAGCTCTGGGCCTTCGCTTGTTGTGTACACTGACGGCGCCTGTGAGCCGGGTGCTGCTCGGCCGCTCTGCGCCGTTGGAGGTGTGCTTTATGCTTCCTGGAATGGGGCTATCAAAGTCCGATACTTCGGGGTCACATTGAGCGACTCCTTGGTCGACCAGTGGACCGCAAGCGGTAAGAAGCACCTTATACGGCTTGTCGAGTTGTATGCCTTGGTACTCGCGCGATTCGTCTGTGGTCGACTCCTCGACGATCGGAGAGCGCTTTACTTTATCGACCATATGGGAGTTTTTTCTGCGGCCATCAATTGCACGTCGAGGGACGAACTTTGGAGATCCCTGCTTATCCATCTTGAAAAGGCCGATGCCAAGCCTTGCATCGGGTGGTATGCTTGTGTGCCTTCTCAGTCCAATCCTTCTGACCCTCCTTCGAGAGGCTGTTGGATCTTTCCGATGTGTGATCATGCGATCCGGGACCATCCTGCTTGTTTCGCCACAGGCGAACTACTTCGCTCGTCTTGACTCGGGGATATGGTCCTCGCTTCGTGACAATGGTCACTGCCCAGTGGGGCCTATGTCTATGTAATGCCACTTGTGTCATGCAGGCTGTGCTTCACGAATGCTCGAATCCCAGATCGCAAGTGCGAAAATCTTGAGCCCTTTGATCTTCAGTTTCTTATGTTCTACATATTCGACTCCCCACATAAGTGTATTGGGGAATACCGTTGATGATATTGTGATTACACTGATTATGCTTCGATTGCGGAATCGAGTTCCGGGAATAAGCGAATTTAGAAGGAGCGGAGCGAAGTTCTTAATGTTTTATAATTTTATACCCGGACGATGTTTTTTGGCATTGGCCAAAAACTTGATTTCGCAATCCCATTTTCAATCATGTTTGTCATCGATCATGCTTGTTGCAAGTTTCATTTACATGATTGCATGGTCATGCTCTTGGCATGACAAATGATGTGTACTTGCAATCTTGATCAAGGGCGGGTGGGAGGGAGCGCCTCCTTGAACAGGCAAATTTTTACACCCGCCCGCCCAACCCGGATATATGGGGGGTATGGTCCTCGCTTCGTGACAATGGTCACTGCCCAGTGGGGCCTATGTCTATGTAATGCCACCTGTGTCATGCAGGATGTATTTCACGAATGCTCGAATCCCAGATCGCATGTGCGAAAATCTTGAGCCCTTTGATCTTCAATTTCTTATGTTTTATATATTCGACTCCCAACACAAGTGTATTGGGGAATACCGTTGATGATATTGTGATTACACTGATTATGATTCGATTGCGGAATCGAGTTCCGGGAATAAAGGAAGTGTACTCGTCAGAAGCCAAATCATACTTGGTGTGCATGTGAGACTTGCATATCTGAGTACGCGACGACCAAGTGGAAGAAGGTTTACGACCAAGCAGCGGAACCGCCCAGAGCACAAGGAGGAACTGGACAAGAAGCCCGTGGATCTGGAGACGGAGATCATGGATGGAATGGAATGCCGGAGTGTAACGCCGAGATCTAGGAGCAGGATCAGTAAGAAGGCGTGGAAAAGCAGCGATGGGAACACCGGACGTAGTGCATACGGATGAGAGAAGGATGCCTATCATAAGCGAGGAAGACTACAGAGCCGGAAGCCAGATTGTATTTGGAAGGACCAAGGAAGAAACTTCGGAGATGATTGAGTTTCGCGGAAAGATGGTAACCATGGAAGAAATGGGGAACATGGTTATGCCGGAAGAATGTCAAGAGTCCTACGAAGACTACTGCGAGAAGACAGAGAAAGGACCGGACAAAGATCCGGAACCTGGTACCCCAGATAGTACGGAACGTCGTACTGAGGGACCCCTCGCCTGAAGAGGACGGTCACCAGGATATCCGTAAGACCAACATCGAGTCCATCGATGAGGACCAGCAGTAAGTGTAGGTCGGAAAAAGTTTCACACCCAAGACCTGACAGGCGGAAGCTCAAAAGAAGGAAGAGCGCCAGTGTTGTTTCACTGGGACGAAGTACTTGTTACTGTACGGATGTCAGTGTATGGACGGTCTGACAAACTCCATAATTGGGGGCAGGTCAAAAGGTGGGTTGCATGGAGTGTTTAACCCAGGAAGCTCGGAGCTGTGCAGGCAAAGCCTATGCAGCCAGGGCAGGAGGTTTGCCCGACCGCGGACCGTTGCAGCAGTACAGCACAAGGACTTCGAGGCAGGGTGTTAAGATTTGTACATAGAACGCCCACACCTTTGGAGAGCCCTAGGCTACGGCACATAGAATGTATAGAATGACTATGAAGCGCCCTTGGCTTAAGCAGGAAAAGCGTGAACGCTCAGGGTCTTACAGTTTAACTGCATCACAACGCATATTCGCTCATGTCTCAACCGTTACTCCGGATTGAGCGGAATCGGCACCACTTTCGAAACTACCGAACTCGCCTTTCAATACATTTGTGATTGAGAAAACAGAAAGACCTGCTTTGCTTGCTTAACGATTCGCTCGCATGTGCGCTCGTAGCAGTTTGGCCTGTTGCATGGTGTGCAGTTCACATGAACAGCCCTTATCATTGACAGCCCTGGAGAAGCTGGCCTGTGATCCTGATGTTAGCTTGTGCAAGTCGCTGCAGGAAGGCATCTTACATAGCAGGTTTTTCAATGATATCCCAATTTCCAACTACATATTTTTGGCCGAACTAAGAGGATAATCTGGAAGATATCCCGCCCGCTGTCGATTCACATGCAGGAAAATTTGATGATGGGGATTTGGCCGCTGCCGAGAGGAAAATGGCCAAGCTGCTTGGAAAGAGCTATCAGGAAAGGGGGGTAATTAACTTTGTACATCAACCAGAGACCCCAAGCTATGCTTTTCCATTTCGGGGGGAGTATCGGAGAAAGGCATCATGAGGGATTGTTTGAAGAGAGACAGCGTGGGCTTGCCTTCAAACTTGTAACTTGGAACAACTCTTGCCGGCGTAGCTGGGAGGTGATGGGTAGGATGTGTTAGTTAGTGAAGTGTACCTCATCGTACAAGTTTTGTTTCGTTCGCGCGAAATCGTTCAACGGCGACTCCCCCAGCCAATGGAAGAGCTTGAGGCGGGGTGCGAACGAGTCTCCCGTATTTTGTGCGGCGTGGTATTTCTTGTTTTATCATGCGACTCCTTTTGCAATGCACAATTCCGCTTTTCGACCCAGGGGTTTTAAGTGCTATTGAGTCAGAAGCATTCGTACTTTGAGTGACGTATGAGTAGTCTTGTGTATTGGTATGAACGGCCCATTCACATGCAATGCATATATATATATATATATAGAGTTTATGGCCAGGATCGGCCATGAAGGATAATGAAGTCGAATCTGATCATGCCGTCCAACAACAGCAATAACCCTAACAGCGACAACAACAAAGACCAATGGGGGAAAATCAAAACATGCGAGACCGTGTTGGGCATCTCATCGAAACATGACAGAGTTTGACATGCAGGGGTGCTTCACACTTTTCCGGCTGGGGCGCATTGAAGTTGATTTGCCTCGGTGTGAAGCTTAGTGACACGACACATAGTGACACGACGCAATACGACACATACATTAGCGATTAGCGATTGTGCCAGTCGAGCTCATGTCACCAATGATCAATGCTGCCCGGCGACTGCACAGAGGTAGCTTTCAGACAAATGGATTAAAGCCTGCGGCAGATTCCTCGTAGTTCCGGGTTGTGTGGCTCGAGGTTTTGCAGTCGGGTTCACATGGCTTGTATTCCATTTATGATTGACAAACAATGCTGGGACTTCGGCAGCAACCGTTTGTGCATGCTTTGGTTCATGTCGCATGCCAAACAGATTGCATCCGACCATTGCACAAAAATGCACGAAGCAACAAAGCAAATGCGGAAGTGATGTGAGGTTGGGTAATAGTTTGCACGCATTCTTCATCACAGCGAGCCTCTTGAAGCTGATGTCTGAAATCAGGCGTGAGCTGACCTTGCAATGTCCGGAGCGTCCCTCCTCCTTCATGCTTTTTCTAGTTCTGATGAGCATCTGGCCGTGGCTGAGCTTTGGCAAAGGTAACCAGGATTGTTTTCGTGGACAGCCCGGGCTCAGCTATGAGGCATGCTGCCAAGAAAAGTCGCAGCCAGAACTCTGCTGGGGTGTCGATGCGGAATTTGTTGGCGAGTATTGCTGTGAGCACGATGTTCGCCCCGTCTTCGAAGCAAGGCTGTGGAATTTGCTTGGCCAGGTCATTGTGGAGGTTTTGTTTGCTGTGGATTGTGAATTGATAACCTGGCAGGATGGATCACCTGACAAGTGTGAAAAGGCTTTATTGGCCAAGCTCGTTCAGCTGGACATAGTTGACTATGAGTGGGTCCACAATGTTTGGTTGCCGTCCATGCATCGCAGGAGCGGCAGAACTTCTGTCGAAAGGCTGCACTTTGCCATGCTCCTGTGCCAGACATTCCTACACTCCCGAACTGCGTCAGTGGTGCAAGCATTTGAAGGGGATTTATTGACTTCGTTTCGAGTCTCACATGCGGCAGGAACTGACGAGCTGCGTCGAATTTCATTAGAAGCAACAGGAAAAAGCTGGGCCAGGCAGCTGGCCGTTCTCAGGAGTGCTCCACGCGATTTGGGCGTTGTTCACGTTGCTCTTGTTGCATCTGTTGGCGAGCCGGTGTTCGCCTTCAAAGCCATGGCTACAATCCGGTCTGCCTTGTTTTTCGCTCGACGCAAGAGGCTGCACTTCCACCTCTTCGTAGACACTCCTGGTGAGCTCGCCATGCGCTACTGCCTTGACGAGCTGCGCCAGCGGGAGCCAATTTTGGCATCTCGTGCTGCAGCGTTTGAGCTGTACGGAGAGGATGTTCTGCGCCATTTCTTCAAGCTCCTTCGAGCAAACATTGTGCCGGGATGTCTGGGACAAACAAAGCTTTATGGTGATTCTGGCTGGATTCGGCTTTTCGTTCATGAGCTCCTCAGAAATCGTCCCGAGGTGGATTTGCTGGTATTTGTAGACGCTGGAGATTACGTGTTTCTCGAAGATGTATCGCGGCTCCTGGTACAACGGCGACAGTGGCGAGCGTCACAGGTTGGCGGGAATCCACGAGACGCAGAAGGACCTTTCCAGGTTCTAGATTTGCCCCGCATGAGGCGCCACAACTTCACAAAGATCCTGTCAAACACCGTCCGGAAGAACTTCGAGTCGGCTCCTGAAACCTTTTGCGAAGTTGGGGAGGGAGCCACCATTGACCAGTTTGCTTTAAATGCAACGCTGTGGCATGTCATGGAGGAACCCTGGGTTGTCGAAGCGCGGGAGCACGGAGGCGTGCAACTTCGAGGTGGGGGAGTCACCAACTTTTGGGATGAGGAAGTTGATGGTGCCATCTGGCGGGATCGGGTCTATCCGGGCTTCTTCGACTGGACAGTCCTGAGAGTTCATTGTCCGCTCTTTTTGGAAAGCTTTCTTGCAACAACCTTGCAAGGGAGACTGCCGCCAAGTCGTGCGCAGTACAAATTTTTGGGATGGATGGTGACGTGG